AGAATGTTCTATTCTTCAATTAGGAGATTTCAAATTTGATGCTTTTAATGTTGTCAGATTTACCATTTTCCTAATATCATTTGTCACTTTGGTTTTTTTAAATACAACACTTTCTGTATTTTTTGAATGAAATAAAAGGCAGATATCGAGCACAGTTTTTAATTTAATCTTGCCCAAGTACTTTCGCATAGCATCTTCAGAGGCATTTCGTCAATTGCGGCCTATCCAACAAGAATAAAATGTTATTAACATAAAATTAAACATCACACTACACTACACAAGGACAAACACTTTAAAATTTTTAAAATAGGCGAAGCTACATTATGTATGGAAACCGGAGACAGAATCTGTCTCATAATCTGAATACATAATGTAGCTTCGCCTATTTTAAAAATTTTTAAGTATTTGTCCTTGTGTAGTGTAGTGTGATGTTTAATGTTATGTTTATAACATTTTATTCTTGTTAGATAGGCCACAATTGACGAAATGCCCATAAAGATGCTCTAGGAAGCGAAAGTACTTGGGCAAGATTAAATTAATAAAACTGTGCTCGATATCTGCCTTTTATTTAAGTCAAAGTTCATTTATTTGAGCATTTAACCTTATATCAATTTACTTTCTATATTTTATTCTTATTGGAATACTCACTTCAATACGAGTTCAACCATTTGTATCACTGTGTATTTTATCTGGTCACCGAGGTCTTATAAACAAAACTTCTCTGTCGACGCCAAATAGTTCTAAAGTAGCCATTTCCTTTCTAATAATGTATGATACGTCACGATCCGATTAACTATTCTACCCCCAATACAAAACGTCCAAAAGGTAAAATCTTACCTTACAATATTACAGTAACCTATATTTTTAGCAATTTTGCTATCGTGAGAGAAAACTGAGTAAATATGTGACCAATTTCGTACCAGTCTTGGATAGAATAATATTACTCCAAATAAATACTCAACCATTTAAAACTAACATACTTTAAATCTATGCCCCGACTGCAGATAGAAAATATGACGATGACGATGAAACTTAATAAACACGAAATTTTATATATTATAGCCGACTCCAATGCAAAAATTGGGGAAGGTCGACGAGGTCAAACTGTAGATCCTTATGGTCTAGGACAACCTAACGATCGAGGACTAAGATTGTATGAATTTTGTAAAGAAATAGAAAAAATAGAAAGTATAAACTACCTAAGCGACGACTATACACTTGGAAAGCATCATTTGATGATGGCAATAGCCCTGAGTCTAAATGAAATAAAATAGACTATATACTTGTAAATGAGTGTTTCCGATATGCCGTCAAAGAGTCACTACATTTCCTAGAGCACATATTGGATCTGATCATCAACCACTTGTAGCAGATTAAGGTTAAAACGAATTCAGCGAAAAAAAAACCAAAAAACAATGTACTTAACTTTGACCATATAAACATAAACAAAAATTAACAATAGAATAAAAAACATCGGGGAACAACTAGAAGATCCAAAAGAACTAAGGAGTGAATTTAAAAACCAAGTTAACGAAATCTCCAAAAAGAATGATTATAGAAAAAACTTAATCAAGAAAAATAAATGGATGACAGAAGACATCTTAAAATGAATGAAATAACGTCGACTGATAAAATGTAATGAAACAGAATATTGACACCTGCAGAGAAGAATAAAAAAGGAGATCAAATTAGCCAAAGAAAAATGAATGAGAGGAAGGTACGACGAAATAGAGGATGTAATATCTAAACACGACTTATTTAATGTGCACAAAAAACTAAAAGAAATGAGTAACATATTTAAAAAACGAGTTCCCTCTGTACTCGTTGACAATAGTAACAAAATTATAGTAAATGAGCACGAAATAAGAAAAGAATAGAGCTGTATATATCGGAGTTGTTTGAAGATGATAGGAATAATATTGCCGAAGTCTATCAAAACTGTACTGACGGCCCAGAAATTATGAAATGCAAGGTAGAACACGCTATAAATAATGCTAAAATTAGAAAATCTTGTGGTCCAGATGATACACACCAACTGAGTTTCTGAAACTAATAGAGGATAATAACATAAAAGTAGTAGTAAGACTTTTTAATTCAATATATAACACCGGAGTGATTCCCACAGATTGGCTCAAATCCATCTTTGTCGCAATACCTAAAAAACACAATGCGAGAAAATGCTCAAAATATCGATTAATTAGTCTAATGAGCCCATCGAGCAAAAAGACAAAAGAAAGGGAATGTAAAGGTAGTGGGGACAAAAATATTGTTAGACAGGAAGTGCTATCTTGAGAGGCTACTTTTTCGAAACAATTCGAACAATTTCGAACAATTGTTCGAAAAAACCCATATTATTTCTAAGAGCCCCTTCTTTTATTCCAGGAAAATCCGCGAATCTCTAGAGATCCGAAAAAATCCACATAACTTCAATCGAGAGGAAGGATACTACTTGTCTCCCATCTGGAATCTCAGTCTAGAGCCTCCGTCCGGTCCCGCTACCACGATGCAGCCACATGATTGGCCAGCGCGCGCTTCTTGACGTTCGCGCCACGAAGTGTGCCGATACGTCCCGACACGACAGGTCACCCGCGACTATAAATAGAGCGGTAGCGGAGTAATCGTCGGATTCACTCCCCGCCTCTCGACGCGTTAGTGTTCTGAGCTGTTGGACGTGAATCCCTGTCCTGGCATTTGGTTTTCACCTCTGGCTGCGTTGAGTAGTTGAGTTACTGTGACCAAATGCCCATCTTGGTAGTTAGTATTCGCCTCTGGTTGCGTTGATTAACTGAGTTACCGTTGCTAACTACCCATCTTCCTGTCTTTTGTTTTCTTTTTCTTTTTCTTTGTTCTCCCGAAGAAGCTACATACAATTGTAGCGAAACGTCGAGATGAACCCACTTTTGGGTCACTCACAAATGACACGGTCCAAACCCGGAAGACGAATAAATTATAAATCAAATTTAGTTTGGTTATGTTATTGTTTGTCCGGTTTGTCCCAACTGTCACATATAATTTTATTTATATTGAAGTTTTTTGCCAATTGTATCACTTTTTAGACTATTATCGTTAATATTTAATTAAAACTTTCTCGTCTGAAAAATATTTTATAGCTATTGTTAATAAGTGTCGAAAAATTTAAATTTAGCGCCTTTGCATTTCCGGATATGTCGGCCATCAGAGGCCACTTTTTTGGTCTCCTTTTCATAACGATTAGATTCCCTCTTTTGTTTTTTTGCTCGATGAACGAGCCACACTCTTAAATTTTCCTAAGAATACTTCACAACAGAATTAGACGCAAATGCGAAGAAGATCTCGAAGATACCCAATTTGGTTTTAAAAATGCTATGGGAACCAGCGAGGCACTTCTTGCGCTTCGGAAAACTGAACAATCCGTCATACAAAATATTCTTTAATAAAAATATGCCGCCGGCATTCACATTCATTAGTTGACGAACAGTTTCCCAGCAGTAAGGTTTCGACACGTCCACCCCCGGCCAATTTTATAATCTCAGCGACGAATTTTTTGGTTTTGCCGGGAACATGACGGGCGGTACAAGTGAACAAAATAAAATTATTGACGAACAATTAATAGAATGTTTAAGAAAATTATAATGTTTTATATGATTTTTCGCATGCAAAATACATGGACATTACTTTTAAAAATATTATTTGGCAAGAAAGCAATTTTTCGACATGCTAAAATATTGATGAAATTTTACATCATCACGAAGCAGTTCTTTATACAGTGTCACGTATTTCATGCGTTATGGATGTATTTCCGTCTTTTTGCTTGGTTTGTTTGCGCTTCTTCTTCCTCGTTCAAAATTATAGCAATTATTGCCGATTCTTCATCCGAGAAACTTTCCATCTTTTCAACAGATTAGTCGCCGAAGACTGATGCATTTCGGGTGTGTGCGAATAGAGGAACGAATAGTTCTGTGACCAGACGGGACCGGTTCGGGCGCTGGGACTGTGACGGGACGGTTCTGTGATTATACAAAACTAATAATTTTACTATTTAATATTCATTTGTTTCATTTGATAAAACAAAATTTTCCTATATTGTACGAAATTAGGAAGATCTAACAACGTATAAAATAGCATTAAAATCTGCCATATTACACAACTAATGTAAAATAATTATAAGATTATCGTTTCAGTCACTTCTAAAATAATTCATGTTCCGTACATTTGTCTCACATTGTATACCGTAACGTGAAACTTAGGTCTACAGTGAAAATCATTTATCTTGAATTTATTCTGCAGATAATTCCCAATATCCCTGAAAACCATCTATTCCTAATTGTGTATGTGAACGTGTCAGAGTAAAATAGTTTTTGACTAAGCTATATTTGTAAGTTAAAGAGACGCTTATATTAAAAACCTTCTAGTTTTAATAACTCTAGGAGTTAAAAGTAATGTAATTTAAGTCACTTATTGAGAAGTACAAGATTATAAATGAATGGAAATAAAATCTGTAAAATGATAGTTGTGTTTTATTAGTTGAAGCGTCCGCTTGGAAAAGAGCAATTAATTCATTTAGATGTCCAAATACAATTGTTAGAATATATTCAAAGCGTATTATAATAAAAAAAGTAAATGCCACTTTCATGAATAGAGCACTTTTTTATTTTAAACTACACTAAAATTAATATTTCATTAGAATCTCTTTGCAGGCCCCTTCAAATTTGAATTTTTCTAGGAACCGCCAGATAATTGACAATTGACCAGATCTACGTTCCGTGTAGTAAGTAGCGCCACCAGTATTCACGAAAGTATTCTCTTAAAAAAAAAGAAAGAACCTGAGTTTATGTGAATGAAATTAATTCCGCATTATTTAATAAATTGTATATTGTAATGTACCCACTCTCTATTTAAAATCATTCATAAGCTACTTATAATAAAAAACTTTTGCATTTCGCCAGAATGTATGCAACTCTCATTTATTGGCGTCTGCATTGACAGTTAACCTACCATCTGTCAAACAGTTGTTAACCTTTAAAAAAATCAAAATAAGCTTGCTTCTAGTTTGTATATCAAATTCATCAAACAAATAATGCCCATTGAATTAACTGTGAAACTAATACCGTTGAATTACATCAATAGCTGACAAAAAAGTTATTTAAAGAGTCCGCAGAAACTGAAAACATCCATGACAGTGGTATTGGAAAGAGCCAATAATGTTAGAATCCCCTTAAACAAACTAAGGAAATCACTAAACATAGTGTTAAAACGCAAAAATTTGGTGAAAGAACAAAGAGTAGCCAAAGTTTACTTAACTAAAATGGATCTAGAAAGTGCAGGGACCAGTAATGGTGTGCCTCCAAAGAAGAAATTTAAATATAGTATTGGAAAAGATAGTTATAAATCATCTTTAGCGAGTTTACCTGTAAGTTTAGTGAAGAAGAGGTGATATGTTTTGCTTAAACTGTTTGTTTGTTTTAGAAAGTGGTTTTACAAAGGATATTTTCGTATTTAGATGTGAGGTCTATACAAAATTGTGCAATCCTGTGCTCAACATTCTACAATTTATCGAAAGATAGTTCGTTATATAAAACATTGAATTTAAATGTAGGTATTTACTAAAAAGTACAGTTTTTAGAGAAATAATATATTGTAGTGGTATCAGAGTTTATGTATAAAATACACTGTGGTAATTGATTAACCAAGGTTTACATTTAAATTAACAAATAATTTGTTAACAAATAAAAACGAAAGGCTCGTTAATATCTTGTATGATTGGTTTGGTAATGCTTATTTATTCTACTGTACAATGAAATTGTAAATAGAATAATAATTCAAAATTTGTGAGTGTATATTGTCTGTTTATTGTTATCTTTATTATGTATAGTAACAAATTGTTCTTGTTTTTAGTATGAGATGTCTCCACAAGCTATAGAATATTATATTTCAAAAGTTACAAACCCAGACACCATAGAAATATTGTATGAAAATGACCAGAGCAAAGATGCTGATACTACATGGTTTGATACTTCCATTGTCAAGTAAGATTGTTGTTTTAATGTTTGTATAGAGCCATAGAAAAAAATATAATTTAAGCAGGCTATGGAATCACTAATTTCTACAGGTTGGTGGTAGTTTAGTTACCATGCTGAATGACATGAGATTTGGATGGTGTTCTGCAATAACAGTCTAAGCCACATATATATGGTTCAGAGTAAATGAGCATATTGTGTCTAAACTCGGTTTCATAATTCTTGGCGGGTGCCTGAAATAAGCTGATGTGTTTGGCCGATACAGTGTGGGTGATAAGTTCAGGCTCTTTACGAATACAGATAGCTGCCACTGGAGGAGGTAAACGAATCGAGCTTAGACAAGGAAAGACAGATGAAACAACTTATTGCAAGTGTTTTTACACGCACACGCCAAGAAAGATGAAAACTTCTATACCTACTTTAATAAATTCACTGATAGAAAATAAGGCTTTATTTTCACATTTTCATATTTCAATAATTACAGGCTACCTAAAAAATGTATAAAAGCAAAATAAATAAAACCAGTTTATTGCAAAAATAACTTGAAACAGCTTAGATGGTTTTTGTAATATTGTAAAAATATAAGTTTGCCATTTTGCAATAACCGTCTATTCCTCCGAAATGGTAAATACACAGAAAAAACCGAAATTTGAGTTCATTAGTAATAGTAAGTAACTGTTACTGATTTAATTCCTTCTCGATTTGATCTTGATCAATCTCTAAATCAGGATTTAACCCAATTCCTTCCAAATCTTGTTCAAAATCGTCATAGCATCATTGGTCAAAGTTTGTTAAAATTTTTGAATCCCAAGGTTTGCTAATGTCCTCTTGAATACTCTTGAAATATCCATCCTCTAAAATAAAATAAGAGTATTAGGCTCTCACTTAAAACATCCACTTTTAATATAATATTATGAAGTAAAAGTGTTACATTTACAAAACATTTTTTACAACTGCTATAAAAAATAAATTTTGTGTTCTAGTGCAGTTAGCAAAAAACATCTAACCCCACTAACGTAGCTAATTTTAAACTTGATATATTTGTATTTCTTTATGTGCAAGTCTTATAATATGGCAGCTAACATAGGTACAAATTAGTTTAACTGCCATTTGCTGTTAATATTAAATAAAAGGTTTATTAAATAAAAATTTATATCTTCTGTGAAATTTCAAGTCAAAATAAGTTTATATGTACCTTGAATAATAAAAATTATAGTCACTGAAGTAAAAACACCAAGTTTGTATTTGTATTGTGATATTTTGCTTTAAAATATTACACCAACAACCTAAATAATAACAACCTGCCGCACTCGTTTAAAACAATGTGTTGAAATATCAAAGTCCTTTGTTAAAAAGGCAGACAATATTTTGCTGGCCAAAATTTTGACTATCAAGCAACAGTTCCAATATTTTATATAATGAACAACTGGTTTCGTTTTAAAAAACATTTTATTATGTTACCTTTTAGGTACACTATCTGCGATAAAAGGCATTTAAAAATTTACTTAATCAATTGCAGAGCTGACAACACAGAAAAGTCACAGTTTTAAATAATATACTTTCACATTTTACTATTAAAGATAAAGCCTCTAGTTTGGTGCAATTTTATTTATTTAAATAAAATTGTAATATTAGTGTAATAATAAATTTCTCGTCTTTTAATAAGTCAAAATAAAGATTTGTTCAATTTAATATTTTGCATATGGTGCACACAATGAAAAGACTCTTACAAAGATTTGCAACAAGCGTCTAACCCACATATTTATAATGAAAACAGGGGTTATATTTTTACAAATTTCTGTTCTATTTGACGAATGTGGTTTAGAACTTAGTTCACAAACGCCTCCATAAGTATGAATACGGCTTATATCATTTTTGCTTGATATAGTATGCATTATGATGGACAGTTTGACACGGCTAACTTCATTTGTAAACAAATGTGGGTTAAACAGTTGTTGCAAAACACCATCCATTTATGGTTTGACTTTGTCAATGTAAAAATTTGGTTAGCCCTATATTTGAAACAAAGAATATAGATGCATATAGAAGAATATTTAGTACTAGTGTAGTAAGCCTATGATGTATAAACGATGTCTACAAAGATGAAATTTATATCAATAAATTCTGCTTCGCTTACTAATGATTGTGCAATGATGTTTATTTGGTGGAAAACATTCTTTTTTGTGTAATTTCCATTTAAAATATGCCCGATTTTTAAAAGCCACCGCCAATATTCGCCATTATTTCCCATGAAACAACAAGAAATGACAGGAATAACAACTGTTTCTTATGGCAAAGAAGGGTAGTTTTAACCAGTGTTGCCATAATTATACAAAATATGTTTTCTAATGAAAAATAAAAATTTTGGACATAATTACCTCAAAATTCGACATTAAAATAACATTGTATTACGACCTACTTTTAACTGAAAATTACAGCTTTTTTACTAGGTTCACGTTAGATTTGGTTACATTACTTTACATTTATTATCACGTTTTCTTATGAAAAAGAAAAATTTTGATTTTTAATTATATTAGAAAATTTTATTCTTATTACAGCTTTTTTTACCAGCGTTAGGTTAGATTTAGTTACGTTGGTTTAGTTTTATTGTCATGTTTTCTTATGAAAAAAATTGTAAGGTGTTTCGATAAAAAAACAATTCCTGACCTTGTTAGTATTCTAGAATTGCTTTTTAACTAACCTAACCAAAGAATTATTTTTTACAATTAGAAAATTCGAAATTGTGAAGTATAATTTCGGATTTTTAAGTTAAAAAAAATAAATAAGTCTCAAATAATGCCTCACTAGAGCTCAACAAAGGAATATGAGAAAAAGACAAAAATTGCTGCTGGCACATGGACCATAGCAAATCCCGAGGATAAAAAGAGACTGGGAGAATACCAGCATTCCCTCGTAACAGAATTGCTAAGAAACAGAGGGGCTCTAACGAGCAGACTAGATTATAAAGCACTGTGGCAAAAGTATTCAGTATGGTGGTAGCATACAGACACCATCCTGGTAGCATACAGACACCATCCTGATACTCAACTAAATCGGGCTCAAGCAAATTTGATCATTAACAAACTGGAGCAAGCACTTGATGAGGCTTCTATCGGAGGTCAAAATGAACTTCTGCAGTTCCATAAAATATTGTTTAGCGAAGGGAGCCTGTGGGTGAACTGTGTTAACTGGTATACAAACAATGGACGACTGAAGTGGTAAAGACTATTGAGGGTCTGTGGGAGGAAACAAACTTGAATATAATTGATCCAAATAATATGCCCAAGCACTCCATGGTCCTCACTCTTGTCCCGCAGAAATACCTTGATTAAGAAACAATCAGAATCCGTCAAAAGATGCAAAATCAAGACCTTAACACAAAAGACTGGTTGTGATCTCTATTCCACAGATTGAACAATAAAGATAAAGGTCATAGAAGGAGGAATTATGAAGGAGATAGTTCTTAGATCACCATATCTCCCACAGATGATCCCAAGCAACCATCAAGGCAGTTGGAACAGTTAGTGCGAGATTACATGAAAAATGAACTGCAATTGAATCATTGTGAAGATTATGTTTTACTAGTAGGTGTCATTTTAAAACAAGATTAAATAGCACTCATATAGCGTAAAAACTTTCACATAGCCTATTCATTAAAAGTTACTGTTAAATATTTCAAAAATAATCCAGGAATCCTTTTTGTTTTTATTAAAAGATTATGGATTAAATGGAAGTTTAGAAGTTTCAGAGAAATGGAAAATTTCAAAATTGAATAAAAAGTTTTATTGCATACTTTTTTGAACAGGATAATTGTTCAATTAAATAATTTCGAAATTAGTCTAAAAAGTTTATTGAGAAGTCCTGAGAAAATTAATTTTTTTTTAAATGATTCGTAAATTTTTAGGCAGTAAAATAGTATAATAAAAAGTTACGTGACGGTTTTTCGTAGTGTTGGAACAAACCTATTGAATATTGTAAATTTCATACCTTTTTAAGTTTTAAAATTAAAACTTTAACAATTTAAGATATTAAAAATAAAAATTTATTATGTTAAAAACAAAAAAAAAAGTTTGCATAGCTCTGTTTGTATTTCTTTCCCACTTTCCTAACTCTCCCACTTTTCCCTCTATATCTTTCATGTTGGTTTTAAGCTGACGGCCACGGTTTGAGTTTATGCAGTCGCCCTCTTAAGGATTGTTTTGAAGTATAATAACCGTAACCAAATTGCCAATTTGAACTGTTTATCTATATGCATCTATATTCTTTGTTTGTAACAAAAATGTTTGGGAAAATTAAATAAAAATGACATTGAACACAGCAATTAGTAACAATTACATTCACAGAGAAACAATTTAATATTTTTTTTAGATTATAGACAAATAACTCTCCTATATATGATAGAAAATTTTAAAAGGGGCTAAAACATGTTTTAAACCTTTAAAGTCACTTTATTTAATATTTATGTACTTACACTTATTATGAATTCCTTATATGGGAGTAACTAAACATTGAAAAAAAGGAAAGGGCATTCCAAGGCTTGCTCTAATTAGGTTTTTTTAATGGCTTGTTATTATTCAGTAAGGTATATTTATTCATTTTTTGTCATTAATACTTTCACTGCAGAAGCTGCTATTTGGTATATTGCTTATCTCTCAGTCTGCGCAGAAAGCACAATTTGGCGTTATCTGTATATTGGATATGCTATCAAAAAGGTCATGTTGCACAGGGGATGGTTCTGAAATAAAGTTCTTCAGTGAAAGTGTTAATTAATAAACATGATTTGTATAATTACTAATTGTCATGAGATAACGAAAGGAAGAAAATTTAATATATATGAGACCATGATTAAAACTACTCTTCTTTATGGCGCTGAAACATGGAGAATTAGTGAAAAGAACAAAAAGCGAATAGAAGCAGTAGAGATGGATGCAATGAGAAGATCTTTAGGTATTTCCAGACGAGACAGAATCAGAAATGATGTAATAAAACAACGTATGGGAATAGAAGGAAATATAACTCAAGATATAGAGAAGAAACAATTAAGGTGGTATGGGCATGTTCAACGGATGCCAGCAACAAGACTCCCCAAAAAAGTAGTAGAATGGTAACCGATAGGTCGACGGAAAAGAGGAAGACCCAGATTCGAATGGCAACACGGCGTAAACAAGTCCATGAGCGAAAGAAATTTATCAACAAACGACTGCGAAGATAGGAAGAAATGGTGTTTAGGTATCGGACAACGTCGAAAGACGTTCCAAACCGATGTATATATATATATATATATTATATATATATATATATTATATATATAATATATATATTATATAATATATATATATACTAATTGTCATCAAGTCATAATAAAATAAAACACTATTAAATAACTAACTATTTCTTCATGTTTTTAGGGTATTGAGGAATTGTGGTGACAGTATTGTAACTTTGAAAATAGAAAATTGCAAGAATGAAGAAGTATTACTGAACATAGCAGAATGTATAAATTTGGAAAGTAAGTTACTGTTCTAGTTGCTATTAGAAACAGAGAAAAATAATATATATTAATATAATGGCTATTATTAATGTAATATTTTTTTATGTTTCAGAGATAATCCTTTACAAATGTAAAAGTACTTTTAGCTCACTGTTGCCTCTATATACACTGAGGAGCATACATTTTGCTTCATGTCATTTTCCTGTAAAGATTGTGAAAGAAGTAATAAAAAATAATGTAGACTTAGTATATCTTCATTTATGTAAGTATTTAACAGTTGTTTTAGTTAATTCTGCTTTTCTATGCTTTTTACAATTCTGTGGTTCAAGGGAAAAGGGGCATGTGTCACCCAGGCATCTATTTTTAGTATTTGCCAATATTAGCAAAAGAGTAAAATATGAGCTATGCAAGCACTAAATATTTCAAAATAATAATCCAGAGTAAAGATGATTTATTAAATAATATTCTTGTGTGACATTTGTGTATAGTACTAGCAAGCACTCTTGACCATGTAGCTGCGCGAAGGAGGAGTCAAAATTCACGTAAAGGCAGAAAGATTCTATTGTAAGTGGATTTATACTAACCAAACTAAAACGTTCTACCGTCGACTGCAACTTCGAAATTGTCGAAATAATTACAGTGTTGGACTGAGTAATAAATAAAAAATTGCATGGTTCATAACAAAAATTATTTTTATCTGCATTTCGTTTATATTTTCAATAATTTTTGTTCAGTTTTTTTAAAAAACTGGCTTTAATTTGTTATTTTAAACTTAACTTTCGACATTAAACGTGAAAAAAGCCCTATTATTTATTGCAAAATTATTGGTTATACGTTTATATTTTCAATTTCTTATTTTGAGTTGAGACATATAACTAATATTATGACATATAATATATATTGAGACATATAACTATGCTGACCAGATTTGAAAATTAGTAGGCCATTTGGAACGAAACCTTTTTCCCCTCCTGCATGTACGATAATTAACCGCTGACCTTTGGCAACAGGAGACTTTAAACACTTGCTTGAACCATCATCCCATGATTTAGATGTTGTATGGCTGCTGTGGAGATACGTTTCATCAGTGTAGATAACATTATAACCCTCAGCTCTATATATTTTTATTTTTTTTTAGATATTCGGTTCGTTTGGCTCGAATATCTGTTTTTTTCCATAAGTATTTTTCGGTTGTCATTTGTTTTTTTGCCATTTAAAACCTAATTTATTCAACACTTTTCTGAACGACGATAGTTTACCTTGATAATTAATCTCATTCTTAACAGCGTTGTAAACAGCTGACGTTATAGGGCTGCTGCATGAATCATTGCAAAGGTATGCACTGTTTTTCTTATAATTTCTCCCTCATAACCATCGATGTTGGTTTTCGGTTTTCGCTGATTAATTTTTTTTCTGGGAGATTTAAAGACATTTCCCGAGCTGCCTGAAGGAGATGAAAAATGGGAAACTCTCTCTCCTTCTTTAATAATTCTTTGGACGCTACTTTTAGAAACTCCAGTGGCTTTAACAACCATATTTAAAACCGAAGATTTTGTGTTGTGTTTTTCTTGTTCCTTTTTTAAAACTTATACACATTGTAAACAATATGTCTGCCCTGACTGTAAATAACACTGTTATTCATTATGATGGCTCCGTGAACGAAATAAAAATATAAAAATATTTTGATTAAACAATTATGGTTGATCTAAATATAAATTTAAAAAAATAGCACTTCTATGTTCGGTAGGTGTTATAAAATGTTTATTTTTTCTATAAAAAAAATCACCAAAAGAATATAATTTTATTATTATCCGACAACGAATTAAAAAAAATGTTAAGATTACATAACTACGTATCTATAAAATAAGTATTGAAATTGTCTATTTTTATCAACAAAAATTATTTTTTATGTTAAAAAAGTTTTAAAAATGTAAAATTTTATGTTAAAAAGAACACGATATATAAAACAAAGATTTTAAAAAAATGTAAACTTAAATCAACGTAAATCGTAACATATGAAGTAGTTCAAAAAAGATTTTCCAATATCAAATATTAACCAATTAATTGAAACAGACTGCAAGTAATTTTTGTTTTGCACCAGTCTCAAAACAAAAAAGAAATGAAAAAATTTTATTAAAATTTCCTTAATGCACCCCTATGTATTTTAATTTATGATAAAGTACCTACCTTTTGACCGCTTTTAATAAATTTGAATACGCAATAGGTAAACGGGAGAAAAATACACAAACTTATTGAAGTTAACACCTCTAAGTCAAAAACACAACTAAAAATATTTCAAGTCGATATTTTCACGTTGCATAGTACAGTGCGTTTCGCGTGGAGGTGGTGACTAAACCAAATTTTGTCTACTGCGCCGTGGTCAAGAGTGCTTACCAGCACTATAATATAGTACTTTTTGAATTTTTATTATTTTTGTGACTTATGCCTCTTTTCCAAATTATAAAACCTGTTAACACATTATTGTTATCTACACTTATGCCCATGTGTATTGTCGGTGGGTAAATAAAAGACAGGTTTCTTTAACTATGTATTTGCCAATTTTGTATAGAATATGATTTAAACACTATCGTCCGAATCACAAACATAATCTATATCACTAACATTGTTGCCATCTGATAAATTTTCATAAAATGCATGGCATTCTGAATCTATTAAATCAAAATACTTAATAAATCCTACTTTTTCTCTCCGCTTATGCTCAAGGGTCCGTTTTAACACCTTTCGGGTTGTAATGTGACCTTCAATTTCTCGAATATGACTTTCGACCTCTGGCAAAATTAAATGCAATTAAATGGCTGTTCTTGTCTTAGGGATGTTTTGTACTTAACTCTGTTTCCGTCACTGCCATATGAAAACCATTTAACATCGCGCCACATAAATTTGTCTCCATTTATATCGAAAGTGTCTTAGTTGAAGTGACCCTTTTCAAAATTTTGGAAATGTCCAAAAAGTCGCTGTGATGCAATACTTTTACACTTTAGTATCATTTTTGCCTCAATTTCTTACCAAATTATACCAGTCTCTGGGATCATGTAGGTTATTTGCAGCCGTTTTCTTCTTGTTTTACACTAAGTGGGCGTATGGTCTGGAACTAAAAATGTGTGATGTATTGTCAATGATGGTCTGATTTGTGAAACATAGAGAAAAATTGCTGTCATATGGCTGTTTTTGTTTTGGTCGCCGCAAGTATCTGAGTAAATTGTCACCGTTTTGATTGCAGGTGACAGAGAAAGAAGGTAATCAGATAAGCAGGACGCTATTTGGTTTGCACCACGGTGTCCTTCGCCTTCATGCCACATATAGCATGTAGGTTTTACCCTTGGCACCACAAACTGTCAGATTAAACGTCCATAGTAGACATTTATAAAAAAAACAACATTTGTAGTTAAATGAGGTGTTGGTAGACACTGTTGTAGATCAAAAGTTACAGTTATGCTCTCGTTATTTGCATTTGCTTTGTTTTTTGATTTTTCTGCATAAGCCAAATCAACTTCTGCCTGATGAATGTGAAGTTGTTGCTACAACATTTCCTTTTCACTGGAATCTGCTAATTTTATTTTCTTATGTAAAGCATCGCATGTATTATATGTGTCTAGGGACGGCTTCTTAAATTTCATACCTGTGCTTTCAAAAATTTTGGTAAAATGTGATCTGGAAACAGGCTCAGAAACTTTTTCTTTATACATTTGAAACAGTATTGTTAAATTTAGAACTAAGGGAAGATATTTTTTACTTGTATGTCGTCGTGAATAGTGGGATTCGTATGCAGGGTAACTATTAATGTGGTCAAGTATTAATTTGTTTCTTTCTTTTGAAACTTTGAAATAATAACATATTTTTAACAGAATTTTCTGAATTTTATATTGGTAACGTCTCGGTAAATACCTGCACGGTGTATACATTCGTTTCCTGACTCGCTTAGGAGTTACAGTGTTGCCATTCTCTTTCGCTCATCTCAAATACAATGTGAATCCGGTCGTGCTGTACACAACCTCAAAAATTTGACAGTTTTATTGTCGCCAAATTACAAAAAAGTGTTGTGGTATCGTTAAGTAATCTACAAGATATGTTGTAAAACGCATATATGCAGATTTACCTTTATTTTATAAATATCTAAAATTCCTAAAAAGAACTTATACACATTAAATTAAGGGTTAAACTTTCAACCACTCATGTTTAATTATTAATTTTGGCTTTCTCATGATTTAATAAGTTATTTTTGTGAAAATAGTAATTATTATCATATTTGATATATCAATATATCAATATATGATATATATATTATATATATATATAATATATAATTATATATATTATCAATTACTACTTGAATCCTAGATCATTTAATACTGTAAATGACTTAAAAATTGATAAGAAATAAATGTTATTCTATTTTTAGCAAATAACGTGAACGTCAATCCTAACGAGGTATGTGAGATGATGTCAACGGAAAATCTAGGTCTCAAAGAGATCCATTTGAGCGAGAGAAAGACGTTGAAGGCAAAGAGCCTGAGGACGCTAGCAAGACTGACTAATTTAAGAAAACTCGAATTGATGTCCTCTGCCGGCTTTGATTGCAATCCTGAGGATTCTTTGGAGCTGTTGGCAGCTGGTTGCACATATCTGGAAAAGTGAGTATTTTATTTGTTTTTCATATTTTTTTTTCAGTGCCAGTCTTATAAAAAACGTAGTAGTTTGTGAAAAACAGTATGTTTGTGATTATTTCTGGAAGAAAACCAACATATTGCTTCATCCGGATATATTTGTATACTCAGAAACCATATTTATGTAAAGATATTTTATTGATTTGGATTTAGAACAGCCCCTAACCAATTGCGAATGTTCGAATTAGAAACTGCCGTTCTGTGTACGAACGATATCTCAGTGCTCTCAGACTCGTAATGTCAATGTCCAGGACAAGATTTATGCATGCTAGTTATATTCTGGAAAAATGGATTTCTACATCTGTTTATTTTAACAAGTACTCGAGTGTTTTACGTTTTTCTTCAGTTTTACTTCTTCTTTCAATATTTCTTCAAGCAGTGTGTGTTTATTTTTTATTTTATCTTATCTGCTGTTGGGTCTTATATTATTAGTTGTTGATTTCATTGTATTCTTTGTGTTTTTGTTATTGTTACTTATTTTTTGTAGTTTTATAAGTCTTTGAAATATTTAGCCCATATGTTTAGTTCATCTGCGATATCCCCAAAGGAAACCATTCTTGGTTTCTACAAAAAATTGTATAATGCTTTGATGCTACTCTTGTTTATAACTTCTTATATAGCTCTAGTATAGAAGCTTCTGTACCAATCGCTCTGATAAATCCTAGTAGGATAAAATACGTATAAGCGAATATACATGGGCACTATACGTGAAATCAAATATTAACTGTCCATAGTTAAGTTACATTTTTGATGACAAAATACTAGGCTGTTTAAGTCATAGACGAAATTTACTTCATGGCAATGTAGGACTTCAATACTGGGATTGCTAGCCCTTAGACTAGGTGTCTATGAGGACTTGTTGATAGCAACTGATCAAAATGACGCATTAGGACGGAAGTCTGAACAAAGCAGTCAATGTAACCGGAAGTATGTGTCTAAATGTGACTATAGCCAAGATTGTTTGTAATTAAATATGTCAAAATTTGATTAATTATAACAGTAGCAACCATCAATATGTTTGGATTTAAAGTGTAATCTACCCTGAAGGTTTGTCGGAAAATTATAGAAGTATTGCTGTAGATGGATTAAAGTTAGATAAAAGTTTTGATTGTAGGTAGACAAATATCTATACATTATATCTGATTCATCAGTGATGAACTGAAAAATTAAATAATAAGGCCCTACATGTTTTAAATCAAGATTGGTGCCTGGAATTTGGAAAGTAGATATGTGTAAGATGCTGGATTATTGATTATTAAAGATTGAGCACCTTGCCAACTTTATTCTTAATCCAACTTTAGATCCCTTGTATATGGCATCTGTTTTAGTTTAATAAAATTTGTACATGCTTTTTCTATGAGTACTTTAATTCCTTTGGAGTAATCATTCCTATGATTGTCAATGGTACCAAGATAGGAGTAATTCTCTACTTGTTAACTATTAACCTTTTTTCATTAGATTATGATGATTTTGAAATCTTCTAAATTTTGTTTTCTCAATATTTATTAAAATGCCATATTCTTGTGCATAATCAACTACCTTGTTAATCAGTCTCTGCAAATCTTTGATATTTTCTGCCAAAATAACAGTATCATGTGGTTCCAAAACAAAAGTTTCTCATTAATACTTGATTTCTTTTTTGTGGAAATAGCTATTTTGTAGTACTTTTTAGTTCATTTAACAAAGCACTCCATAAAGTTTACCATTATAAAAGAAAACCCAAAGTTTTCTTTTTCTTTGTTTTATATACATTCCTTTAAAAATAATACGCCACTGGCGGACTGGAAATTGTAGACATGTCGATTCTAGTCAATAATTTGAAAAGCAAATGCTCTTTCCTGGGCTTCCTAAGCTGTAACATTATTGTGATATTTACTGTCTAATTAAAATTTGAATAACTATTATTTAATGCCCATATTTAATAATTGCAGCAGTTGCAGATTTTAGTTTTTTTTGTGGAATATAATATAGATTTCTTTACTAACTCAGTGGACTGGATCAGTCCACTGAGTTAGTCCACAAATACACATCAAATGTTGAATTTCTGCTGGAGTACTCGTGATTCGGTCTTGATTGAAAATGTCGTGATTTACACAATCAAAAGCTTTGGCATAGTCACAGAACACAGTGGCAGTGTAAAGATTATGGTTTAGATTATAAGATCTCATGTAGTACAGAAAACATAGCATCACTTTGTGTTTAACTTTGTGATAAAATGTTGTTTTCAACGAGAAAGGACAAGTCGCGGTTTTATAAGTCTCTTAATAATTTTGGATAGGACCGGTATTAAGGCAATAGGTCTATACTTGCAGACATTCGATTTTTTACCACCCTTATGAAGAGGAATAATAATGGCTATCTTTCGGCACTCTGCAAATATACCTTTTTCAAAGGAATCAATAATTAGTAAGACCAGGACTTCCAACACATTTTTTGGGAGATTTAAGAATTTTTTTATGGATAGTTCATCAGTACTACATGAAGATTTGCTTTTGATACTATTGATTGTTTGGATTAGTTCAGATTTGTCAACTGACCCTGTAAAGAATGAATTTGAGCCCTTTTTTGAATTGGGAAGATAGGTTCCTAGGTACTTGGTAATATATTCAATGACAAAGACGTTGGTAGTAAATTTTTTGATGTACATTAGTGAACTCATATTCTGGGCTGATATGCGGATACCTGTGGTAGTCCAGGGTTTGTGATGTTTTGACTTAATTGTAATTAAAAGAAATGTCTTATTGAAAATACAGTCAAGTTTATCTAAAAAAAACTGAAATTATTTGTGTCAAGCACAAATTTTTGAATTTACGAAAGTTCTGAGCGGAAAAAGTCTTACCTGCGATGGGCAGCATATGGAAGACTGCGTGATATTTTTAAAGGTGATATACCTATCAGCTTAAAAAGAAGAGCCTTTAATCAGTGTGTCCTGTCTGTCCTTACATATCGCGCAGAGACACTTACCCTAACAAGGACATCTACACGAAAACTACAAGTGACGCAACGTAGAATGGAAAGATCATTGTTAGGCATAACGTTGCGAGATAGGGTAAGAAACGAAGAAATCCGTAGAAAAAGTGGTGTAGAGGACATTATAAAACACATAGCCAAAATTAAATGGAGGTGGGCAGAACACGTCGCTAGAATGAAGGATAATAGGTGGACCAAAAAAATCTTGGAGCGGATAGGCGAAATCCGGGAAGATCACCCACAAGATGGACTGCCGACATACAGAGGATTTGTACCAACTGGATTGCAGCAGCGCAAGATAGATCTGAATGGCGGTTTTTAGAGGAGGCCTATGTTCAGCAGTGGAGGACTATGGGCTGATGATGATGAATTGTTTCAAAATGCATTCAATAACTCTATGTATATATAAAACTCAAGAATATGTCAGAACTGAAAGAAGGCTCCGAGAAGAACTATAGCAGCATTATGTTTAATGCTTTAGATTGACGTTATTTTAGGTGTATCTAAAATATGAATATTTTTGTTGTAGATTATGTATCCACAATTGGAAAGAAATAAATGATTCAAACTTCATACCTGCCATACGGATGTTCACTCAGTTGAAAACTTTAGAGTTAAGAGGTACTAGTATAACTGTGAAGAGCTGCCGAGAAGCAGTCCTCAGTTTGCCATTGTTAGAGACTTTGGATGTGGTTAAATGCCAAAGGATAAAAAAAGCACAGGTAGATAGTAATTAAGTGCTAGATATTATATCCATACAATGTTATAAAAACCCTTTACATATCTCTTTATCAAAGCTTGTTTACAAATTTGTGGATTTCTTATAAAATTTAATATCAGAAAAATAAAATTATTTGCATAAATATTATTTCGCAATAATATTCATAAAAATTACATATGCTTGAAAGCTAATTTTTCATAGCTAAATGGTATATACTAGCCTAGTTCAGAAATTATTTTTTTTATATAATTTGTTGAGGACAATACTTAATTTTTAACATTGTATGGATAATGCATCATTTTACATTGTGGTTTTTTAAAGTTACTAATATTTTTTTTCCTTTTTAGCTACTACTACTTAGGAAAGACTTTAATGATTTAGAAATACCGATAGAATAAGTTTTGTACCTAAAAAATAAAAGTTTTAGTTTTTTATTGTGCTTTTCCTTCAAAATTTACAAATATCTATCAGAGGCCTACCAAAATCTCTTACATTATTATTATTATTATATAATGATATCGAACCAATGCAGAGCTTATGTGACCCAAAGGACAAAATATATTTGTAGGTACCAAACTAAATATAATATAAAACAAATTTTCTAACAAAGTAAAAATAAAAATAATCTTTATAAATAATATATCCTTACATTTATAATAGTTTTCATAAAAAAAATACAAACAATGTGCAAAGTTAACATAAGATTATGTACAATATCCATCAAACTTGTTTTTGAAGCTATTTTAACTAGAGGTACTAAGTCGTCACTTCAACTGTTACATTTGTCAAAAACTCAGTTAACCACTAAGTTTTGCCTTACAGTATTATGACCTCTTAGTCTAGTCTTAGTCTTTATTGATGATAGTATTTTTTGATGTTTCCAAAAATCACTCCTACTAATTCTATAAGGAGCTAAAGAGAGCTTAGTAGCTCTTCCTGGTACTCCGAATAAATTAATGTCCCTTTGCAAATGAGGTGACCAAACTGACACAGAACGATTCGGCAGAAATACGTGTTGAGAAACTGGAATGACATTCTGCTCCAACCAAAAGAATACTAATTTATCAGCTATTAATTTTTCAATTATTTTAGTGCTTTATCATTTTTTGTCGTTTGTAATACCCTCACTTTCTGTTGTAAATGGACCTGTTATAGCAATGGGTGTTGTTCTCTCTGTATCTGTATAATAGGGAGGGCGAGTTAAGTTCCACATCAGTTAGGCCAGAATTGACCCATTGTGCATCCTCCCAGAGAGCTGTCGCCATTAGTTCATTGTCCATCCTGCCATTTCTAGGAAGGTGGACAAGTCCCCAGGAGACATCTCCCTTATGCGAGCAGGTGTGGGCCAGGACCCGCCGAACACGTACTCTCGTATTAACAATAACTGGGCATTCACATAGGACATGTTCTAAGTTTCGTCTTCTCGTTCACACTTCCTACATAAAGGTGTGTCTGCTAGCCCCAGTATGTGTAGCTGTTTGCTTAGTTGACCAGTTAAAAAACTAACTGTCAAACGTAGGTTTTTTCTGGTCATTCCCAAGTACTTCTTTGATGCTGACTGAAGGTTACTTAGTGTTACCCTGGGAACTCTACATTCTTGCCCTTCTTCCCATCTTTTTACGGTTTGTGTATGGCAGTGACATTTAACAATTTCCGCGATTGTTGTAGTTGACCAACCAAAAAGATCCTCAGGTCTTAGGCCTGCCGGCTTTCTAGTCAATTGGCCAGCAATGCGGTTGCCTTTAGTTCTATCGTGTCCTTTAATCCACCTCAGGATGATGGTATTACCATTCGAAGCTTGAGTTAGTGACACTATATTAATAACCTTGATGTTACAAGTGGTCTATTCAAGGTCAGTAGCGCTTGTCTGCTATCTGTGCAGATTTTTATAGTTATGCCTTTTTGGGTTATCTCTTTAGTGGTTATACGCTGCAGAACTACGCTTTTTTGCGTTTGCGGGCATTTTTGCTCACACCCCACTTTATTCTTAGGTTCAGTGATCTGGAGTATATCCCGAATCCTGAGCCTTCTTCCATTTTGGAGCGGTCGGTGTATATGCAATAGGCATTTGCCACGTTCGTCTCCCTATACTGTCTTGTTTCGATTTTGTAAGGTTTGTTAAAGACAAACTTTGGTTCAATTAAGTCGCAGTCTGTAGCAGTGGTAGCGCATCCAGCTCTCCTTACCAGAAACGAGTTCTCAATTGTCCTACATCCTACATCAAGATTTGCACCAGCTGAGCATTATTATCACTAGCGCCAACTCTTTCACATATATATCTAGAGGCGTGATGCCAATGATGAACTCCATTGCAGCAGTTGGTGTTGTTTTCATGGCACCTGTTATATTTATACAAGCCATTCTGTGAATACGGTTTAGTTTCTTAATCGCTGTTGCCTGTAGCACTTTTGGTATCCAAGCAATAGCTCCATAAGTTAGCATCGGCCTAATGACAGTAATGTAGAGCTGGGCGAAAATATGTTAGGCTAATTGGTCTAAAAGCCTTTGGTAGGGTGTAGTCCATCCTACCTGGTTTTGGTATAAAGACCACACGTACCTCTCTCCACTTCCTAGGAATATATCTCAGAGCTAAAGAGACTGAATATTTCCAAAAGGTGCGGCAGAAGGATATCTAGTCCTCACCGTAGTAGGGCTGGGGATATACCGTAAGGCCCTGGTCATTTGAAAGGGATGAAGCACAATATGGCCCATTTTACCTTTTCCTCGTTAATCATTGTTCTGGCGAGATTTCAATCGTTTATTGGGGGTAGGTTGCTAAGTTTTGGGAGCTTATCCTGACTGACAACAGATGCTTCCGCCCAGGGTTTGAGATCAGCTGTAACCTTGTCCAACCATGCAAGCACCCCATCGTCATCACAGACTACTCTGATTATCTCACCCGAGTAAGTCCACGATTTGAACGTGAGTGCATTTGCCTGGCTACTCTAGAGGGACAAGATTGTTCTGTCCAATTTCTCGATCAGGCTGCGTTTAATAAGGTTTTCCCCATTCGGCAGTGACCTTTCCATACGGGTTTACCTTATCTATAATAGTGACCTTAAGATGTCTTAGGGTGGCTTCCGCGATGCTTTAGGAATCCACAGCGGCGTTTCCACCACTGCGTGACTTCTTATGCTTGGGTGAAGGCGCTTCACGCCAAGAGCTGTCGGTCCATGTCCTCTTCTGGAGGTGGAACCGTTGTCAGCCTCCGATATGGGCACCTCCACCTTTGTTTTGGGAGGGGCTGTAGAGGGAAGAGCTGCTCCCGTTGGTGCTTTTCCCATCGCTTCTCTGGCCTTCCTCCTTCTTTTTGCCTCGGCGCTTTGGCCGATTTACTTGAGGTGGTCCTTGTCCATCCTACGATTGGGCCGAAATTTGAGGTGAACATTGCTGTTTATTCTTAGCTCCGGCTTCAGGCTAAGGTGAACATTTTGGTCCAACCTCCGGTTGTGCAGAGATTGGAGGTGTCCATCTTCAATTACGGCTTCAGACTGAGGTGAAAGTTTTGGTTCAGCCTTAGAATTTGGTTTTGTTTTTTTGTACATTCATATTGTTCCCACCACTTGCTAGGGAAAGGTTGGCCGCCCCTGTCAGAGCCCCGCATTAGCAGGGGAAGGCTTTATACCAGTGTTTCCCAAATAGTGGTCCGCGGACCCCCGGGGGTCCGCGACATATTTTTCGAGGGTCCGCGAGCCCACGGCATAAAAAAAGACTAGGCAAAAATACGTTCACAATTTTTTGAAGTTTTAAGAATTAATGTTTGATCTGGCAACGGTGCTTGCTAACACATAAACACGTCATGGCTTCGGGCGTGGCCTTGCTTCGGGCCTGGCCTTGCGCCTACGCATTTTTTTTGTCTGAGCTTAGTTTCTCCTGTAACGTGTAAAGTAATGGTAACGTGACAACTTTAGAATCGATTTGGAAGCAGATACACACAATTTTTATTACAATTGTTCGGTTGATTAGTGACTAATAGTGACTAGTGTTTTTACTATGGATCGTTGGTTGAAAAGCGGCTCTTTGAAAAGACCACACTGTGATGATGAGACGGAACAACAACCAAGTATTTCTCAGGAGTCAGAAACTCAACCTAAGGCAGCGAATTCGACGCCAAAAAGTATTGGTAAGTTTCGTGGGAAGCAACGAAAATATAATGAAGAATATTTACAATTTGGATTTATTGAAAATACCGTCAACGACGAGTTAAGACCACAATGTGTTTTATGTTTTGATGTGCTTTCAAATGAATGTATGAAACCGGCAAAACTTCGACGTCATTTACAGCGAAAGCACCCTGAATCAGAGAATAAATCTATTGATTTCTTTCGATTGAAAATGAAAGAACTTAAACAGAGTCAAAACGTAATAAAAACAGTTGCTTCTGGAAATGAAAAGGCCACACTTGTTTCTTTTCAAATAGCGGAATTAATCGCTAAATCTGGAAAGTCCCACACTATAGCAGAGGAGTTACTGCTTCCAGCTGCGCAGATTATGTGTAAGACCATGATTAGTGATTCTGCTGCAAACCAGTTGCAAGTAATACCTCTCTCCAACAACACTATAAAAAGAAGAATAACCGATTTATCCCTGAATGTTGAACAGATTTTAATTGCAAGACTCCAGATTTGTAAAATGTTCGCCATACAACTTGATGAAAGTACAGATATTTCAAATAAAGCAATTTTGTTGGTATTTGTTCGTTACGACTATGATGGTGAAATTCATGAAGACTTTTTGTGTTTACGGGAACTAATGCGTACTACAGCTGACTGTGTGTTTAACGCTCTCAATGATTTTTTTTACTGAATCTAATATATTGTGGAACAAATGCGTTGGATTAAGTACAGACGGAGCCCGTGCTATGTCTGGAAAATTAACGGGTCTTGTGGCACTCGTGAAAAATGTAGCACCCAATATAATATGGACTCATTGCTGTATCCATAGGGAAGCTCTAGCTTGCAAAAAAATGCCGCCATCGTTAAAATTGGTCTTGGACGAAGTTGTTAAAATTATTAATTTTATTAAGGCCAGGCCGTTAAACTCCCGTGTTTTTCAAGCAATTTGTGAAGAAGCAGGCAGTGAACACATTCAACTCCTTTTACATACAGAAGTACGATGGTTATCCCGGGGAAAGATTTTGGCTCGATTTTTTGAATTGCGCAACGAAGTGCGACTTTTTCTAAGTGAGAATAAATTTGAATTAGCTGAACGACTTAACAATTTTTCTTGGATGTGCATGACAGCATACTTATCCGATATTTTTGTTTTTTTAAATGGACTGAATCTACAATTACAGGGCAAAAATGTAAATATTTTTAAAACTGACGAAAAAATAGAAGCCACCATACAAAAATTACAAATTTGGGCTAACCGTGTGGAACAATCATCTTTAAGTTCATTTCCGACTTTAGATTCGTTTCTGAAATCCGAGGAA